GTTAGCCCAGTTCAACTGGAGTAACCCCTGAGCCTTTTAGTCGCGAGAACAGAAACCCGGCATTGATGGACCTTTATTTAATTAATTTATTTAGATGTGGTACTGAGAATCGAGCCCAGTGCCTCACACATACTAGGCAAGTGCTCTCTCACTGAGCCACAACCCCAGACCTAGTTTTTAGTCTCAAGTGACTACTTATACTTGACATGCTAAGTTATTTCTAGAAGAAGCACATGAAAAATAATACTATGATTTTATAAGTTGAATTTTTCTTGACAAGGATTAGTGTATTTGAAAATATCTTTTCTTTTGAAAGTCTATTATGTGCCCTGTTTTAAGTACTCAGGAWATAGAGATGCCAAGATAGACAAGGTCCCTGCTCTCATGAAGCTTAAATTTTAAGTTTAGGGAGAACAGAAAAGGAGCAGAAAATGAAATCAGGGAAGAGGATTTCAGACAGAGAAGGGAGATGAAAACCAGGAACAGTAAGTGTAGCTTTCAGATGGAGAGGACCAAGGCTCCGGGAGGTGGGGCCTGAAAGCTGGCCCAGTGCTGGGTTGGGCAGAACGTCTGGCTGGGAAGGAGGACTTCTGTGAGGAGGAGGCATCTGGTCTGAAATGTCAACAATGAGCCAGCCAAGAGAAAATCCAGGGAAGAGCCTTCTAGACAGACATGTGCACCTGATGTCACCCCCCACCCCCATAATTCTCTAAGGACACAGAATGTTGTGCTGAATGACAGGCCCGAGTAATCCACATATGCCTAAGAGATCATATTTAAATTAAAAAAAAAAAAAGGTACTGGGGATCCAGCTCAGTGGGAAAAGCCCTTTTGTAATCCCCAGTACCAAAACAAATAAACAAAACAAACAAAAACCTCAAACAACAACAAAAAATATACAACATATATTTACATGTCCCAAAGAAACAGTGAAATACAGCCACATACCAGAAATTTTGTTGGAGAAGATGAAAATAACTAAAATTAAATAGGAAAATCTAATTTACACACTCATGTGTGACCATTTAGTACTAATACAAGTGATTCACTCTAGAAAAAAGTTTTATCTATCTCTACGTTATTGATGTAAACGAAGCGTAATAAGCTCAAGTGTGAAATGAGACCATAGGGTCAACTTGAAATGGCTCAAGCCCCATTTACATTACGATCTACCTTTGCTGAAAGATATTTTCAGGTCCCCAACAGTCCCAAGCTTTTATGAAAACTCCAGCCAGTTCAAGGCAGGGTCACCATGGGCAGCAAACACATAAAATTTATCTAGACAGGAGATGAGTGTCATCACAGAGGCCACCAAACCACCTCCCAGGGACTGAAAGCGAACTGGAGTACTCAGGGGGACAGAGATCTGGCACAGAGAGAGAAAGAGAGGGAGCAGTGTCTCAAACAGGAACCAGAAAATGCAAGGAGTGGAAGTGAAGGAGGCACATTCCCAGATGGAGCCATTTTATTTCCAAACATGATTTCAAACAGATATGCTTTCCATCTCCACACTGGATTTTCATTTTATAAAATATATTTGTTCCTAAAATCCTTCATAAATCTGCCTTTCCCCTTTGCAGTGGGAAGGAGGCAAGAAGTCAAAGGTTAAAAGGTCATGCATAGAATATTATATCCACACCAAGGTAATTACACAATAGTCTTAAATTCTTCACAAATCAATGATAAAACATGAAGATTAATTTACACCTCACTACATTTTGCAGCACTTCAAGGTTTTTCTTCATATATTAATGTTCCCATTTCACAGACAACAATAATATTACTAAAAGATTATCAACTTGTCATAAAACAGGAAAACAAAGTTATACTAAAAAAAAGATCAATCTGAAGAGCTTTAACATTTTTTTTATATAAGAATGAACCTAAAAGGACAATGAGACTCAAGTATTTTATCAGAAACAGTGGTTGACCCCTTTTTTCTTACTCCCTTTTCATCTCAGAGAGCTCTTTAAAAATCTGGAATCATTTTTTTGTCTGTAATTACTATAGGATTTGGCTCACAATCTGGGGTGGGGGAGTGTCATTTTAAGGAACTCYGTGCATGTATTATATTTCTTATTTCTTAGGAGTGGAAAAACTCAAAATAAAGTCTACTTTTAAATGGTAATAAAATAAATAAATAAAATAGGGCTATAGTGTAGCTCAGTGGTAGAGTGCTTGCCTAACATGAGCAAGGTCCTAGGATCAATCTTAGGCTCACAAAAATAAAAATAAAAATAGCATCATATGAGGACGGTAACTACCATAGGGTAAGAACTAAATTCTCAATTTTTAAGAAAAACAAATCTTTGATGATGCATGTATCTGAGTATATAAAATTATGACCCACCCCCCGAACTCCCCTCCCCCTCCAGAAAAAAAAATCACCGTAGGTCAATACAGTTTGTCCAGTTTGACAAATTGGTTGGATTTTTAGTCAGAAGACACCTTAAGGATCCAGTAATTCAGCTCTCTGATTTCACAGGAAAGGGAAAAGAGGCCCAGAGATGGTCAGTGACTCACCTAAGTACCTTAGCTAGGTGGCTTGATTATTTTTATACACACACAGGAACACACACAGACACACAGTTTCATTAACTTGTGTTTTGTACATAAAATGCAATGGGCTCTTACAATAAATTAAAAACAAGAATGTGAATTTCCGTCTGTTATCTCATTGCTGGAGGTGGGAAATACCCGTCCCCCAGAGTGAGAAGGTTCTACTTTCTTTCCACAGTATGGTGTATCACGACTCAGCTGCTGCTTTCTGCAGTCCCTAAAAGTATCATGGGGCAGAAGCAGGGGTGGCAGGAAGAAGGACAGATGCTCAACTCAAATCAGATTTGACGTTTCTTACTTTGCCAAAGATGCCCCACTGGCAGTGAAGATTGACGTCAAGATAAACTTGAGTGTTGGAACTTCTAGACCTGGTTAGCAGGAGAAAATGAGGGGTGTAGGCACCAGGTACCGATGTCTGCCCTTCACCCAGAAGAATATAAGAGAGGGTTCCTCTGGCCATAAAGTGCGGAGAGAGCAGTGCGTGTCTTGTCAAAGCTATGGAACTACATGTTGAGCATCCCTTATCTGAAATACCTGGGACCAGAAGGGTTTCAAAAGGACTATATTTTTTTAGATTTCAGAATATCTGCATCTACATAATGAGATATCTTGGGGATGGGACTCAAATCTAAACAAGAAATTAACATACCCCAAAGGTAACCTAATGCATTATTATTTTTAATAAATTTGAGCATGAAAAAAACTATCAGGGTGTGGAATTTTCTACACGGGGCATCACATCAGGATCCAAATTTGGGATTTTGGAGCATTTCAGATTTCAGATTAGGGAATGCTCAACTGTATAAATTTAGAGGACTTTAGTAAGTGCGGTCAGAATTTCTAATTATTTTAACTTTTATATGTTTATAAATATCAAAATATTTTGTCCTAATATCTAGTATTATTAATTGCTATTTTATCTCTTTCCATAAAATTACATGTGGATAGAATTCTAAAGTAGTATTTTTTTTAAAAATACCATTCCTTTTAATATTTATTACAGATGTCTTTCAGAAAAGCCCTATGTCTAGCTATATATATTAACATTAAATAACTTAAAAAAATAAACAATACATTGTATTATACCAAAATAGTCCCATTTTAAAGCCATATAAGTGAAAAAGTTGAGTTCTCAAGAATGGACTAGACCTTCTAAAGGTATTTTTCATAATGTTAAACTAGTATTAAATGTACTTTATTTTCTGACTGTACCAAATATATATACACACTGCTCTTAATAATTTACGCCCAAAACAGTTTTTAATGAAACAATAGGTTGTTTCATTTGTCTGTTTTTACTTATTTCATAATAGGAAAGTTATTCTAAATCTAAATAAATTTGTTCCCAAAAGATTTCCCCAAGGAGACAGTGGTGACCAAACAATAAATGCTTAACAAGGTGTCGCTATCCAGTGCATGCAGTCATATTTTCTAAGAATAGTTGTAGAAAGTAACTTTCAAGTATCATTTCAAGCCAGCTGGACTTAGAGATAGCTTTCTCATAAAATGAACACTAGAGAGAGAACATCCTTTGARAAACTTGTCTTGCTAGAAAGCCTTTGTCAAAATTCCCATAGGAAACAAAACCATCTACAGAGAACAGAGGGCACTTGACCCCCAGTAATGACCCAAAAGTGCACACGTGTAACACTGCTCTGAAGCCAAAGTAAACTCTAGCAAGTTGAAGAGGAGCTTACATTTTCTTAACTCATCAAAAGTCATTTTATAATCCACAGCTGATAAATTTTTGAAAAGGACATCTTGAGAAGGGCAGGATCCAAGGCAATTTATGGCTCCTGGTCCCACTCTCTGCAGCTGTGGATATTAAAGGTAGTTGACTAAAATAGAGAACAGAGAGAAAGGTCCACTTTGGGGGCACCAAACTCAGATGTTTTTGTACTTAAGTTAGTCGGACTCATTTTTAAAAATTAGATTATCATAGAGTCTGCAGGGACTCAAGATTCTAAAACTCACAGGTATCAAGGAGGGGGCGGGGTTAGGTGACTAAAAAGTCCATGTCTTTCCAAAGCAGGTGCAGGAGGTCAGGAGGGGGCTTGGGTCTTCCAGAAATTTGACTCCTTTACAGGTTTCGATCCAGCCACTTGATGTAACTATCCCTAGTCCGGATTCCCACTGAGAAGTTGGTGGGCCAGCTCGTGAAAATCATGCACCCGTGGAAGCCATCCTCAAAGTGGTCGAGGGTCACCTCCACGCCTGCGCTCTCCAAACGCTTGGCGTACATGACCCCGTCGTCTCTCAGGACGTCGTGCTCACAGGTCAGAATGTAGGTCTTCGGCAGGTGCAGAAGCACTTCCTGGTCTGCGATGAGTGGGGAAGAGCGGGCATCCAGCAACTGGGGGATCTCCTGGACGATCCTGGCATTGCCCTTGGTCTGCATGACAGGCTGGTAGTTCTTTGTGATGGATGCAGGCAAGAGGGACGTCCAGTCAAGACGGGCCCGGGGGGCAACAGCCTCTTCCGCGTCAAGCGAAGTGTGATTGTTCACTATCATGGCCTGCACAAAGTCGTGGTTGCCTTTGAAGTAGTCCAGCCAGTACTTCACCATGACATAGCGGGGCAGGATGGGCGTGTTCACGTTTTGCTGATAAGAGGGTGTGTTAAAATCTAAAGCTTGGAGGACCGGGTAGATTAAAGCTTGCAGTTTGAGCTTATTTCTTAGGTTGGCATCTTGAGCAAACTAGAAAAGAGGAAACACATTATTTCATTTTGCGTGGCTCCCTTTGCAGAAGCACACCCTTTAGAGAAGCTTCGTGCACTACTTTAAACTAGTCAAAAGCAGGAACATTAAATTTCTACCAAGACCAGTATTAAGTTATGTTTACAAAGAAAGGTATGTTGTTTGTGACTCAGTTTTGAATGAACCCAAGGTGAASTCTGAATTCTTTAAACCCACATTAATGCTTAACTCATCTCTCTCCTCTGGCATTTAGTGCTGATTGGTAGGTATTGTGGACAAATAATCTGTGAATCTTATTTAATTTTTTATTCGTCCCCAAAAGGCAATGAAGAGCTTCTTAAGGGGAAAAAAACGAGCCCTACTCTTCCAGGAGAGGTATAGGAAAAGCTAAATGAACAGATGACAGCACTCCAAGGTGTTTTAGTAGAATCCCCTCTGATGCGCATTTAGTCTTCATGCTCCATGAGAGAGTGGGATTTAAATAATGCTGGCAATGCACCCTCCATCCTGCTTAATGGGCACATGCCCCAGAGCAAAGCTGAAATGCGAATGGCAGTGCATCCCCATCGCAGCAATCTCAGCTCACCTGCGGCTCTCTGCAGTGTGAGCACGTGACCCCATTTTGTAATTCTACTATCTAAAACTGGGCCTCGGTCATGTTCCATCTAAAAGGAAGCTAACCAAGTCACTGTGCTTCCTGGGTAACTAAAGCATCTCCGGACTTGAGATGTAACAGCTCTGTAAAAGCTAGAGAAAATGATCAATAAATAACAACATCTGCCAAGAATTGTACACATGTCATTTCACCAAATCCTGCAATCAGATGCCTGCCCTCAGTTGTCTTCAGGCTGGGAGAGGTTGAGGGAGTTGTCTAGAGCCCTGTCTCTCTYGGGGGTGGGGCCTGTTTGACACCCCATTCTGTCTGGCTCTATGGCCTGTGGTGCCCTCCTCACTGCACAGGGTTTTCCTCTGCCATCTGTGGACACATGGGCAGCACACTTGCCCATGCAACATGGAGAATTGAGTTCTTTACTTATTATTAGTTAATAATTATTAAGGAAAAAAACAAGGGATATCACAAATAAAATGGCAGATGCTATTATTGGAAGATATGAAAAGAAATCTGGAGGTGAGAAGACTGAGATGCTGTTCTTAAATTATTTAATCCATAAGCGGATGTTGTGTGTATCTTTGTATTTATACAACTACCAAAGATTTTGAGTGCTATTAGACTCCTAGGGCTAGATGACACAGTTTTTATAGAACTTATTCAGGTAAACCTCAGATCCATTTTATGTTTGTATGTGTGTGTGTGTGTGTGTGTGGTTGAACGGGGGATTGAGATATTCAAGGGCACTCTACCAATGAGTTATATCCCCAACCCCTTTTTATTTTTTATTTTGACACRGGATCTCACTAAGTTGCCCAGGCTGAACTTGAACTTACAATAAGTTCAACTTGTAATTTAACATCTAAAATAGCTGAACCAAGCTGGGTGCAAAAGTGCTCTCCTGTAAATCCTAGGTACTCTCAAGACTGAGGCTGAGGGGGACTGGGGATGTGGCTCAAGCAGTAGTGCGCTTGCCTGGCATGTGTGCAGCCGGGGTTCGATCCTCAGCACCACATACAAACAAAGATGTTGTGTCCGCCGAAAACTAAAAAATAAATAATAAAATTCTCTCTCTCTCTCTCTCAAAAAAAAGCTGAGGATTGTAAGTTTCAGACCAGCCTGAGCAATTTATCTAGACCCTACTTCAAAATTTAAAAAATAAAAAAGATGGGGGACATTGCTCAATGGTAGAGTGCTTGCCTAACATGTGAGAGGCCCTGGGTTCAATCCCCAGTACCACAAAAATAAATACAATAAAAAAAGCTGAACTATTTCATTTCTTTTCTTTTTCATATTAAAAGAAAACTTTGGGCAAAATTTTAAAATTTGTCTCAAAGTTCTAAGAAAATGATCTGACATTTAAGAAAAACATCCCATTTTGCAAGTTAAACATGGAGAAGGTGTAGGGGATACTTAATTTCCAAGCATCACCCTTTGGAACAAAGAGCCCTCTAAAATGTTAGGCCTTTTCTAACACTGAGTGAAATCGGAGCCTCCCCAAGGACTCAGAATTGCTTCCTTCAGTGACCTGCATTCCTATTTCAAAAAGATCTGTATGCTCTGCAGGTGTGATCATTTGAATAACCTGGCTTTGCAGGAGCAGCCCACCCAACAATGACTTTGCACAGGTAATAGAGAATATGTTGGCCTGTTAGATGTGACCACCAGCACTGCAGGACAGTGGTGTTACCTGTTGTCCAAGGGCAGCGGCCAAATTTCCACCAGCACTGTCCCCAGAAATGCCAATTCTGTCTGGGTCAACCTTGTACTTCTGTAAAACTTCTGGCTGCAGGAAGTACTTTGTGGCACGGACAACATCATGAATTTGCTCAGGAAAATAAACGTTTGGGACTAGCCTGTATCTGTGAAGACAGAAGTTGTATTCACTTAAGGACTTCATGAAGTTTTTATAAGCCACTTAAAGTTTAAAAAACAAACACTGTTTTTTTGAAAACATAAAAAAAATTTTTTTGGAAGATACTTAGTTTGTAATGTAATAATTTTGTATTGGCAGTAGCTTTTTTTTTTTTTTTTGCTTGTTTGTTTTTAACTACCAGCAATCCAATAAAACAAAACACACTTATCCCCACCACTAACTCAAGAAGTAAACCTTAAAACACAGATGTTGATTATTAAGGAGAGACTTACAATAGGTTTAGGAAATTTCAGCCTGGTTTTCCATTCACAATGCTTTCAGCTTAGAAGGCRACTCCACAAAATCATACTTTATTGATCTCACATATAATGAATCCATATGACATTTTTCATAATTTATTTGATAAGTATTATAAAATGTGCTCCACTGAAGAGGTTCATGCCAGCCTGACATTGAACCCAAGCAAAATCTGTACTCATGGGAGACTGAACTGAGAGATCAGCTTTAACTAGCAAAAAGAAAGCTAAGTTTACCATTTAGTCTAGTACAGACCCTCTAGGATATTATGGGGCTTTCAAAGTTGGAGATCTCTGTGATATTACAACTGGTGATATTACAGTTGGTAATAACTAATACCTCGGTTTCATCTTATGTCCCCCTCATAATATTACCTTACGTATCCATATTGATAGTCTTGGCATGGAGTGCCTTGCTCAGTGCCACCCTCCTCCCTTGCTTATTAATTCCCACTCATCCTTCAATCCTTAACTGGAAGGTTTCACTACAACTCTACTTGCATCTGAGGCAAGGTTGGCTTCTCAAGGAATGTCCTGATATTTCTGTGTGCTTAGAAATATTCACCATTCTTTTTGCTTCTAAKTAAAACTATTTCCTTTTGTGTTTCCTGTAAAGGCTGTGCTCTCTGATATCAGGAACCGTGTTTTATTCATCACTGTGTTTTCAGTATCTATGAGTGGTCCAGGGTCATCATCATTTATCCAATAAACCTTTTTTTTTAGTATAAACAGTTTGCAAATGAAGAAACTGAGRTACAGCCAGGTATGGTGGCATATGCCTGTAATCACAGTGGCTCAGGAGAAAGAGGCAGGAGGACTGCAAATTCAAAGCCAGCCTCAGCAACTTAGTAAGACACTAAGCAACTTAGAGAGACCCTGTCTCAAAGTAAAAATTGAAAAGGGCTAGGAATATGGCTTAATGGTAAAGCACCTCTGGGTTCAATCCCCAGTATCAAAAAAGAAAAAAAAAAAACAGGTAAAGAAAAATTACTTGATTTGTAAAACAAGTCAAATACATACCAAAATAAATTAAGAGAGWAACTAATTACCTAATTAAAGTTGAATAACAGTGGAATAGCTGTGTGGCTGTGATAGAGCACTTGCTTRGTATGCAGAAGATCCTGGGTTTGATCCCCACGCACATAAACACACACACAAAATTGAATTAACAGTCATTTAAGATTTAAAGGTTTAGATTTCTATCTTATAATGAGAATGTTTACTTTCAGAAACCAATTTTTTTCTAATCTACTCTACAAAAGACCATTTATTTTCCCCACCTAAAACAAAGGTATTTATTTAAACATCTTGATATTCAGTGCAGATGCAATCAAATGGGCAAAAATCTGTGAAATATTTTAATAAGTAGTGAAYGCAGAACTGTTCATTCAGGAAGTGTTACACTTTGAAACTAAATGCAATAAGAAATTACCTTAATGACTTCTATGTAGCATATAAAATAAGCTTTTTAATTTTTTTTTATATCTGMGGTGATCAATTAATCATCCAAAATGCTTTTCCTCCAGTTGATTTTCAGTCTTAAGCTGCCTCTGCACTGTTCCATTCATAACAGACTAGACCAGAATTACACCATTTGGCCACTAGGTGGCAACATCTCATAAGAGTCTGTTTACCCCAGTGCCTGGTCACTTCCCCATTCCAAGCTGAATGCTTAATTAAAAAAAAAAAAATACACACACAAAAAACAAAACAGCGGCACTTCAAGACTCAAGTTGTGAAAATAAAGGCTACATATCATGACAAACACTTTTCATGGTTGCCTAGGAGGTCAGAACATATTCCTACTAGGATACAACTATGAATTAAATTTGAATTTCAGATACTGTTCAGAAAAGGACTCAGTGCCTTGGAACAACAGAAATTGGTAATCTATAGGCATGCTACTGATTAATCTTGTCAATTAATAACTGACTCAGCTAACAAAGTAAACATGCATAGAAACAACATTATGATGCAAGAGTCTTCCTAGAACCTCCGAAGATCCATATTCTAACTCCTCTTCTTATTTTTATTCAAATTGGAAACATTTTTTAGGAACACTATTTTTGTAGACTAGAAAATATACTGAAATTAACTATTTTTTAGGTAACCTGGTACAAAGAAAATACACCTGAGAATTATCACTTGAAAATTATCACAAAATTTTATAATATATTCATAAAGACAGAAAACTGAGAWTTAGAAGAAAATTCTTGGGTGATATAGCCAGAGAAATCATATATAAATACATCTGCTATCTGCTGCTTGTGTTCAAAGCTATGTCCCCTTAAAGTACTTTAAAAAGGATTTTTTTTTTTTTAATTTAAAAATTGCCTTGGCATCTTAGAAAGACCCTGTCTCAAAATAAAAAATGAAAAGGGCTGGGGATGTAACTCAGGGGTAGAGCACCCCTGGATTCAATCCCTGAAATCCTAAATAAGTAAATAAATAATATAGATCTTGAATAAAAGCACTTGACATTATATATYGAGCACACACACACAGACACACACGTGTATGTATATATAAATGTGTAAGTATGTCTCAACATGCCCAACTCACTGCAGGGAGAGCTGACTACAAGGCCAGCTAGAATTTATCACTACACATACTTCCTCCTAGGTGAACAAAAAGTACAAACTCAGGCATGAGGTTTAATTAGTTGAATAAATATGTACACTCTGAAAGCTTATCGTATTCCTCCTAGATGAGACACTTTGCCAAATGTTCTACAGCTATGTTTCACTCAAATGTCAGGACAAACCTGTGGGTTTAAGGATAAGAAAACAAGGCTCAAGGGGATKCATAACTTGACCACACCAGGCAGGAAAGGGCAGACCTGGGATCTTAGTTTACCACTGATTTCAAAACTCATTCTCTTCTCTTAAAATATATTTTCCATCTTCAAAACCCACAATCTTTAAAAGACTATGCATATATACATCAAAGTACTAAATGCTCTAAACTGTGGATTTTTCACATCTTGGAACATTCTCATGATTTCAAAGGATTTAAAATGTTCTCAAAACAAAACACCTAGCATCGCACCTGGGCCCATGGTACCTCTTTAACAGCATAGTTTTCTTCCTTCCAAACAAAATGTTGAAGATTTATTTTATACCTTTTAAATGTTAGATATATGTTACAGAGCTCTGTTTGTGATGGTGAAAGCAATAAATCATATGGTTTTAAAAACATATAAAAATGAAAATTCTTCCTAACCCCCTACTCTTCTGGCCCATCTCCAAAGACTCCACTTCCTGGTTTCTGTGCACACATTTAGGGGTTCTCAGTTCTTCCCTCCTAGTCCCTTCAATCTGAGGAGTGTACCAGGAGGGCCTTGCACATGTGTACTAGCCAGAGCTCTGCTACTGAGCTAAATCCCCAACCTGGGTTCTCTCTTCTTTATGTACTTTACCTATCTACATAATCTTGGCAGTTTCTCAAAAACACTGCCCTCTACAAAATATTCCAATTTGATTCGTGTGGAGTAGGGCCCAGCATCCATATTGGAAGAAAATCTGCAARTAATTCTAATGTGTAGCCAGGGCTTAAAAATCATCAGAGTTCAGTCACATCTCATTCCTCTCTGAACCCAGTTCCCTCATTCCCATTCCCAATGAAGTGGTCTCTCTAACCCCTGGGCCCTTCTCCCGTCACTTCCCCATCAAATGTTCCCATTCTTTTTAAGTCTCGCTTCAAATGTCACTTCTCCCATTAAACCTTCTGAGCACTCTCCCTGCAACACACACGAAAAGTAACCCTCCTTCCTTAGAATCGCTCTGACCACACATCATGATATGGGCACCTTGACTTCCTCTGGAAGTAGAAGTCAAGCCATAATTATGTACCAAAGAGTTAAGATGTACCCAACCTGAAGTGAGCAGCACCATTTCTACATTCTAATACTTCCTCTATGACCTACTTTATTAGCTAGTGAGATAAAGCAATGCTCAGGAAGACTGACGATTTGTTCTTTAAGTCAAAGGCAGATATTATGCATAAGCTCAGAGTAGAGGGGACATGTGAGTTGCTCCTGGCGTATGCAAGTCAAAGAACATGAGGGTCATTCTGGGCTAAGAGGGTTGGAACGAGCATGATTGCTCAAAATAACCTAACCTGGAAACAATGCGTGCCCCYTTCTGCTGTGGGAAAGGACAGAGTTTGCTTCATGTTGTGCCAGCTAGGTGAAAGGTTCATGTGATGATCTGCAATGAAATTATATTCCCACTAGGTTTGGCAGGAGGGAGAGAGAGAAGTCTTGGGCTTTTTCAACTTTTTTTTCCCGCCTTTCCATCATCTCTCAAGAAGAGCTCAACAGATCCGTCTTGGGAACATGAAAAGGTTGCTATCCCCCCAACCTTGGGAAGCCCATCTTCCAGTAGGGAATATCCCAAACAAGTCAGCAATTACAAACACATCGGCTTTCCACTTGAGGGAGAAYCTATTTACTCATCTCACAAGTTTCTTTTGCATTCAAAGGACATACAGTAAAACTGCACTGGGGCACAAGGACTATGAATGAATGACACATCTCATTCTTAAAATGTGGTTTGTGCATAAAGGCTGAAGAAGGGCCTTCCTTGCAGTTTCTACTGTTAAGATCGGCTCCCTGAGATACCTCTGACCATCACTCACTCAGCAAGTGACAGCGGGAGTCAGCAAAGCCTTGGCTGCTTGGATTAGAACA